TTGGTGGGCTCGCTACATCGGCAGAGTAGCAATGGTGGTGGCCAGGGTCTATCCGGCCGGAATCATCGACGAGACCAACCCGCGGGTGAAGATGTCGGCGCGATGGGCGGCCGGGCTGGGTAAGAACGGCAACAAGGACGGAGTGGAACTTTGTCTCTCGGTCGCCAAGATCCCCGGCGACCCTTTCCTGCTCAAGGACACGATGCAGAGTGCCTTGCGAGTCATCGAAAAGGTGGGCAAGCGCAAGCACTGGATCGGCGGCAAAGAGGGGTGGGGAATCAAGGTCAAAGTCATCGTCGAAGAGAAGGATCTCCAACGAGGGCAGCAGGAACTGCCGTTGCCCCCGTCCCCACCCCAGTGCGAGCACGAAGAAGTCGAGAGAGGAGAGGGAGAGGAAAACGAGTGGCAATTAGAGTGAATAGTCCTCGCATTCTCCAAAAGCAATGAAGTTTGCCTCTTCTAGATCCGTCAATCAGGCAAAGGGCGTTTCTACCGGTCTGACACCGTAGGGGAGTGGTTTGGCCTGATTCGTTGTTGCACGCTCTATTTTTCCCCCCTTTCCAATCTGAAAATGTTAAGATTGTGACTGTCGTCGGCTTGCTTTCGTGCAGAATCTGCATGAATTTGCTGGAATCACTGTTCTTCCTTCGTAGTGCAGTAATGTCCCCCGAAGCGCCCAGCGAGCACACCAGAGTGCAGATACTCTTCACCAAAACGACAATGGAGAGGATAAGTCTTTCACTTGCTAGGTATTGGATAAAGGCACATACATCTCTTTCTCTCTATTCTCCATCAGCCTTGTCGCCCTGCTTAGCTTTCTTAGCCCTCCACAGATAATACTCCCCAGCCGTCATGACAGGGTATTTCGCTGGGTTCTCATCCGATATGCACGAGGGAATAGGCAGCATGGGCATCTTCCTGTCCAATCCGTAAAAGAATGGGATGGAGTATCTCTCTTTACCGCTCTTGTTGATCACTCGATGCACCGTCGACACGAAGTAGTCGTTAGTCTGCCTCATGAAACAGTCCGCGATATTGACAACAAAGGAGTTTGGTACGGGCTTGGCACGGATCCATCGCCCGCTCTTACCCAGCACTTCGAGTCCTCCAGACATGTCTTGGTTTACAATCGTAAAGCACTCAAAGTCTGTATGGGCTCCGATGCCGTTCTGGTCATCCACGGATGCGTCCTGCTCTGGGTAGTGAAGGATGCGCAGTCCAGCTTCAGGACGTTTGGTCCACTCGTCGAAATATGTCTCGGGGAGGTGGAGCGCCAGGGCGAAGATTCGGGTCATCTTGCGAGCGAATTGGAGCATAGGCGTATGGTAAGCATACATGGCTTCCTTGAAACCAGGGAGATCACTTGGCCATATTGAAGTCCCCGGGTCATTGTCTTGGTTCTCGGGATCTTGCTCGGCGGAGTAGGCTAGGTTGAAAGCTTCACTGAGGTCTGGCCAGTTCACAGCAAAGAATCGTCAGTGGCGACCTGGAGAAGTATGCCATTAAGTCTAAACTCCAGCCGCAGATTCACTTACCATGATGCTTCCTTCCATTTCTGTTATAACTCGCGAGGGCATGGTATCCCACATACTCCTTCGGCACAAGACTCGTGTCGACCTCCATCTTCTTCTCCAGCGGCAGTGCAAAAAAGCGCTTAGCTTGTTCAAACACTCCGTCCGCCAGTTTGGAATCAAAGCCCTGGGCGGAAAAAGAGAAATTGTTAGCAATAGACAAGTTCTCAGGAAAGAAACTCACGTGGTTGACCACGTAGAAGAAGCCGATGCGGTGAGCGGCTTCCCGGATCTTGTCCGCTACAGCCTGCCGGTCCGCCAATCTGTCACTGTAGATTCCAGCTACATCGATAATAGGGATCTCATCTGCATCAACAGCCTCGTTGGATTTCACGTGGAGGGTTTGACCATTCTGCAGCTTGATAACGAGAGGATTGTTTTCCTCAGTCTGAGTTGCGACTTGGGACATAGTGATAGCTGGTCGATGAAGCTTGCCGCCTGAAGAAAAATGACCTGATTGCTGAAAGTCGAAATGCCTATCAAGGAAGATCCAGACACAAAGGTGATATCAAGTACGAACAGAGATCAAGTCATTCCAAAAACAGGAGCCGAACACGCCCTTGCACGCCGTAAGTATCGGAGTTGAGAGACGGAGGTACGCGCAGCCTTGTTGCTTATCGGCTTTGCCGTGCCGTTATATGTCCGATGGATTTACCGAGTATGGTGTTGATATATTCGGGCAGTGTTTTCCGTCCTTCCTTTCTGGCTATCGTTCTCACAATCCTGCTTCAGCCGCTGCACTAGTCAAATGTTTAACTTTATCCACATGGTCGCTGATATATTCGTTCAGCATCTAGTCAATTAGCGATGATTGGCAGATCCATATCGGATGTCTGATGGTCGTACAACCTCAAATCCAATGCTTTGGACATTGTCTGTGGACATTGTCTGTCATAAATCGCTTTGTCGTGGACCGACAAGGAAACAAACCGTGATCTCGTGAGTAATCTTTGATGTCGCCTTCGGTAAGGGTTTTGTGGCGTTTCTAGTTTCAACAATCATCTCTGCTCCTAGTTTCTGACGCTTTACTTGTTTATAACATGTTATCGAGCTGCCGGAAAGTGACCGTTAGGAGCCTGGAGATGAGCGGTATCATGTCGTTTCCGCCACGTGGTTTGTTGGGCTCTTATCAGCGATAGACATATCCAGGGCACAGGGAGTGCTCGGATTCAGGGTCTGTCCGGCCATGCTGAGGGACACAACCTCTGATAAACATATCCTTGATCTCAGTTTTGCTTGGGATATCAGCTCAACCCCTTCGACCTGAGGGACACCCTGAGCAAAATACGCATCAATTCTGCCTCAGCTGGTCAATTAATCCTGAACAATGAGTGCTCTTCGTCAACGAGCCGCGCGGCTCAGCGAGAAGCTCGAAGTGCCCGTCGATGAGAACTTGGACGGCAAGAGGCCCACGGCATGGAACAATCGTGACCTTGCCCCCCTTCCGCCATACAGGCGAACGTGGACAGTGTGGGGATTCTTGGGATTCTGGGCTGTCATTCAACTGAATACAGTGGGATGGCAGACAGCAAGCTCGTTGATCTCGCTAGGGTTGAGTGTGTGGGAGGCTATGGTTGTGACGATTATCGCAAAAGTCAGTTTTGCGCGTCGTCGATTCCATTGCCAGAAGTTCTCGACTGACCGTGCTGATATAGTTCCTCATTGCTGGAGTAGCCATTACGAACGGCTGGTGGGGTGCTCTCTGGCATGTCGGCTTCTCCGTTGGAAATCGCGCTGTTTGGGGACTTCGGGGCTCATATCTTGCTCTCGCACAAAGAATCATGCTCTGTCTTGTCTGGTACGGTGTCCAAGCCTGGATTGGTGGTCAGATGGTAGGCGTCATGCTCTACAGCATCTTCTCCGGCTACAGGCATATCCCCAATACCTTCCCCGCCAGTGCGAACATGACAACTCAGCAATTCGTCGGCTTCGTCGTCTTTCTCTGCTTCCAGTTCCCTTGTCTTTTGATCCCTCCGGAGAAGACAGCAGTCCTCTTCCGATATGCCAACATCATTACTGCCATTACCATGTTCTCGGTCACGGTCTGGGCGCTGTCAACGGCCCACGGCGGCGGGCCTTTGCTCACAGCCAATAGCACCCTTACCACGACCAGCGAGAGAGCCTGGGCAATCATCCGTGGCATCACTACTGTTATTGGGTCCATCGCTGTGTCACTGACGAACCAAAGTGACTTCAACCGATTCGCAAAGACCCCGGGTGCGCAAATTCCGGGCCAGATATACTCTACCGTCATCATCGGTGCACTTGTAACCCTCATGGGTACGCTCTCAACCTCTGCCGCGCAGAAAATCTATGGAGAAGTGCTCTGGTCGCCAGCAGAGCTCGCCATCCGCTGGATGGAGGACGGCTATACGGCCAAATCTCGTGCCGGAGCCTTTTTCGCAGGCTTCGGCTTCTTCATCTCCCAGCTTAGCATCAACACAGTCGACAATGCGTGGCCGGGTGGCTTCGACCTTGCAGCCCTCTTTCCTCGTTGGATCAATATCCGCCGGGGCGCAGTCATCACCTTCGTGCTCGGCATTGCAATCAATCCCTGGCAATTGGCTGACACGGCCAACACCTTCATCAATGTCCTGGACGGATATTCTGTCTTCCTCGGTCCCATGGTGGGCATGATGGTGTGCGATTTCTGGGTCATTCGTGACCGCAAACTCAAGCTCTCTGATCTGTATATTCCAAACCGGTCGTCCATCTACTGGTACAACCGGGGTTTTAACTGGCGCGCCTACGCTTCTTGGCTCATCGGCATGGCGCCTGCGCTGCCCGGATTCATCAATGCTGTTAACCCGTCCATCCATGTGCCCACGGGCGCGCAGGAGATTTTCTACCTGGCATACATCGAGGGTTTTGCATTGGCATTCGTTGTACATTATGTCCTGAACCGACTATTCCCTGTACCGGGCGTGGGGGAGATCGATGTGGAGGACCTGTTCGCAACCTTCACAGTTGGGGAGGCCAGGAAGTTGGGCGTGACACCAAATCCCCGGGTGCTTGAAACGGAGGTGTTAGAAATCCATGAGGGTGATCGCGCGTCTTCAGAAGAAGCGGTAGAGTCGAAGGCTGTGGTGGTCGGGGAGAAGCTGGTTGGCTGAGTTTTGGAGGTTGGGGTCCAGTAGCTCGCTCTCCCTTGTAAGCAGCTACCCAGGCCTCCATGTTGCCCTGCTCGTTGTAGCTTTATGTCCACAGCTTGTCTCCTGAAACTTGCTGTCTGGGACGAAAGCATTCAGTTGATAGACAAGACGAGATTTCAGCATCGAACCACCTCTTCTTTAATCTGGTCTGATAATGCACTGACACCATCGAGAGTAGTAGTCAGAGCAAATCCATAGCCTGGTTGAAGACCTCTTCTCCCAGCGGCTGAATTACATCCGTATAGTTGAACCCCCTCAGAACAGGGTAGACATCCTCCTATATCGACATTTTCATGTCCCGCACCTGGCGAGCCAGTCGGGTCGAAAACCATCGATTGCCAATCTCTCTATCGCTCTCCCAGTCGTAGTTTTTGAAGTCTCTGGAGCATTTGATAAAGTGGGGGGATTTCCTCTCCACTTGATTCATCTCGAGGAGATCTTTGTTCGATGGTGAAGATGGCTCTGATGTTTTCTGCTTGGATTTCGACTTCGACCATTCAGCATGTGCGCCAATAAAGAGGGCCCAGAGGCGAGCATTCCGATATTTTGGTGAACAAGAGTGTGCCAGGTCTCGATTCAGGTCTTCAGCACGCTCCAGCGCCGCCCGAAGATTCTTCAGTTGCGTCGGAACCATATCGAAAAGGTCTATACCACAGACCTCGACTCTGTAGCTTAAATGGTGGGTCCAGAGAAACTCTGCAAGAATCAAATATTGCTGGGTATACCAATACTCCTTCCTCTCCACAGAGTCCCCACCTTCTTCTCCACCTGCTGGTGACGGGTTGTGAACGTCCTGAATATAGTGTTTGATCATCCGCCCCTGCTGTAGACAGGCTGTCGTGGTCAGCCTCGGCATTATGAGTGGTGGCACAGGTACACCATTGAGACCGTAATGTAACCAGGTCTGTAGAGTAGTCCTCGTAGAGATAAAGAATGCTTTCAGCTCTGCACTTTCAACACTTGGGTCAAGGTATTTTTCCGTTTCATCTCGAAGGGTGGTCTAATGTGGGATTGATCTGAGTTGCTCTAGAACAGCAGCGCAAAGAGGCTGCATCGTGCTAACTACCCAGCCGCTGGGCCCAACGTCAAATGCGAGAGGAGCCATGAAGATCGAAGAAATCTGAGTGTCACTCCAGAGGGCATACTGCAGAAGTGTAAAATTCACTGTGCGATTCCTTCGCTGCTGCTCCTGGAACAAATTTTGAAGTATCTTTGCATGTGCTGCAGCAGCTGTCAGATTCTTGTCAACGATTTCGGCTTTTGGTAGCATGATGATAGGGAGGATAATAACGTCACTACCGACGTGATTCGCGTGGTTTAGCAGTCTCACCCGCAACTCCTGAATACTTCGAAGGCGATATCACATAGGCAGTGTCCGCAACGCGGGGTTGAGCACGGCTGCAACAGTTGCGGAACGGGCAATAAAGGCCTTTGCCAAAGCTGGTTCTTGGAGCGTCGATATACAGATAGTCCAGTCCAATCTCGCATTTGCAGAGCTGACCCATGCAGTCGAAGGAACATGATACTGTGCGGGAAGAAGATAGTCTCGATAGAATGCAATCAGCTCGTTGATTTCGGGATTGATTTTGACCGGGTAGGCATTGAAAGGGTCCGAATTCCCCTTGAGCGGATTGATTGACGATGACGAGAGAAGAGGCCCGACCGCGGTCTCAGAACAGGAACCTTTGCTGCGAGTCTTGTTGCCTCTTTTTGGCATTGTGGGAATTGTAATACGACCTCGCACATCCCGACTGCTCTCAGATGGCACAGCGCGTCGTTTGGAGTTGGGAAGTGGCAATTTCTGTTTAACAGCGTGAGGGGCGATAGCGAGATCTTGAAGATGCTTGACGCTTTGCTTTCGCCGCCATTTATGATAGTTTTGACGGACGTGGGAGAGGACTCGCGAGTGATCAAGAGAGCCGCTTGGGCTGGTTGAATCGTAATTGACGAACAGAAATTTCTCCACGTATAACTGCGAACGAGGGCGGCCAGGGTGTTGATTCGACATGCTCGAGCTCGATGCAGTGTTTAGCAACCGTCTGCACGCTTAGTCAAGTCAAGTCGGGGAGGTTCCTGATCAATGCTGCAATGGATGGGATGCACATACGGGTGCAACTGCCAGCTCTCTGGCTAGTCGTAGCCCATGCCAACCAACTGACAGGAGTTGATTCTCACAGACCCATCCCTGCTCAAACCAACCCAGCAGCTGTCTTACGTCGAGTGAACAGGACGCCAGCGCCCCTTTTTGTCTTTGTCGAGAAGCTCGGATCGTGCTCTGTACATTGTGGGAGAAAGATATTCCAAGGCTCTCGCAGGGTCCCAGCCTCGGGACACCAGAGGCTTTGGCGGGTCTGCTGACGAGATCACTAATAAAAGCTCTTAATTGCAATAAACAAAGCAGGAAAGGTGGGCCAAGACACTCATAAAAGAGCTGACATGTGTGATCAATGAATTAGTCCTATTTCAGCTCCAGTATTGTCTGGATTGGTCTTGTACAGAGTCCATATCAAGCCCTCTCCTAGGCAGTCACTGTCACAGCTCGACAGCAAAATAGGCCCCTCCATACCGAGGACATTGCTTGGTTGGTGGTGGTACTAACCAACTGGCCCGGCCTTCCATCTTTCAGTTTCCCTGAGCACCGGCGTTCACTCGTGATCATGCCCGTGGCCCGCGACTCCTCATTTCAGCATGCATACATCCCATCCCGCTGTTAAGAGTGCTTTCCTCCCTTCTCGCCCCATGGTCGCCCGAATCCGGACCCTTCCAAACTCCCTTGCGAGGCGAGGCGATGCTAAACAACGCAAGATATGTGATAAAACGTGCCGCCCCTTCTTAGCATGTTTGAGCAACAAGGTCCCTTTTTTGGACCTAGGTCTGCGCAGCAGCCTGACCAGCCTGAACCTGTGCCTGTCCCTGTGCCTGTCCTTGCCCTTGTCCGCCCCGTCCTCGATTACCACGATAGTTGTATCCACCATATCCACGGTTATTATAACCGCCTCGATACGTCCCGCTGTATTGTCTTCCACGACCGTAGCCGGACCCTCTTCCGCGGCCCCGATAGCCGCCATCCACATTCCCTTGACCGAAGGTCTCAATGTTCTTCTTGAACTCTTCGCTGCGCACCTGTCTGGCATGTGCGCGCCCGTCGTTGCCTTCTTCTCGGTCCTTTGCTTCTGATGAGATATTGTCAAAAAACGAAGTTGACTTGTTGTAGGCTGGACCGGCTGGGGGGAGACTGTCTTTTCTGGTCGGTGTTGGTTTCCCTGCCTCTCCGTCACCTTCTTCGTGTGTTGAATTCTCTTCAAGGGGAGATCCCGAAGCGATCGCCTCTTTTATGAGGTCCTCCTTATTGAATTTCGCATTGGCAGATTCAAAGTCAAAGTCAGACTTGGGAATTTCCATCTTCTTCTGGCCACCTCCACGGTGGTAGTTTCCACCTCGACCACCTCTGAATCCGCCTCGACCACCACGGGCCGTCCCATTGCCCGTTGTTGATGTAGACATTTCTGCCACCTTCTTCGTCAAAGCATCTACAGCGGTTGTTGAAGGAGTCTGTTTGGTCGGTGCCCCAGCTGCTTGGGGGTTCAATTTTGCCATGGCCGCTGCGACCGCTTCCTTTGCCTGTCGCGCCGCCTCATCCATTGCAGCTTGTGAGGGTACAGGTTTCTGAGGCTTTGTACCAGCGCCGTTGGTCGCTGTAGTATCCACCGCGGCGGGGACCGGAGGAGTAAAAGACTTCTGATTCACGGTGAGAGGGACTGCCGGAGTGATACGGTTATTCTTCGGTGCTGTAGGTGCAACTTTGGGGGCCGCCACCACTGCCGCCGCCGCCGCCGCTGCTGGCGCAGGGGCAGACGTAGGAGCAGCTTTGGCAGCGACCTGTGCATGGGACAGTTGTGACGGAGAGGGTGCGGGAGGTTGAGCATCTTTTGGAAGGGGAGGAGAAGAGATTGATTCAGGGGCCTTGTTGCTGCCTGGAAGTTCAGACGTCAGGTTCGAAGTAGGATGGTTTGCGTCTGCCCCCGAGTCAGGAGGAGGCTGTGGCTGCGGAACAGGTGGTGGTATATTGCCGCGCAACCCTGGAGGGCCGATCGGAGGATGAGGATGTTGTGGAAACGGGTGAGGACCGGGACCTTGCGGAAAGCCCGGGCCGCCGGGAGGACCAAAATACCCAGGAGGCGGAGGTCCATAAGGGGGGAAGCCTGGACCGGGGCCAAACCCTCCTGGCGGCGGGCCATAGCCTCTACCAAATTGATTTGGAGGGTAGTAGCCACCGAAAGGAGGAGGATGCTGGTACTCTGGAGAAAAGGGACCGTCTCGCGGGACTCCCTGAAGAACAGGACCTGGTCGCGACGCATTCTAGATTTTCATGCAGGGTTAGCGGGACTCGAGAAATCAGGCTTCGAGGTCGATTATGAGCAAAAATGAAGCAGGTATCAGAAGGAAGGCAACGGAAACATCCACATGGCTTTGCGCTTTCAGAACAGGTCTGTGAATTTACATCCGATATCTCATCACGCTGACGGGGATTTGATGGGGATTAGACAGGGAAGGGACCCGACATACCAATATGGCAGGGTCATTCGGCATGCTCTGTGGAGGAGATGGTTGTGACGGTTCATCTTCCGCAATTTTGATATCCTTGACATCGCTTCCGCGAAAGACAATGAAGCCATATTTCTGTTGTGAAGGGGGAATGAATTTGTCGACTTTGCGGTCTTCAGTACCAAAGGAGAAGACATTTTCCAAGGCAATTGTGGACTGTTCGGGATTTATCTCGTGCAAGGTACCGACATAGCTACAAGTGAGAAAGGTGTTAGCGTAGATGCAGAGAGGATCTTGAGGCTCACTGACCGAATTTCACTTTTCGAGATGAGGTTGAAACGCTGACCGATGAGATGATCCATATCCATGATGACAGCAAGAGAAGACAAGAAAGAAAATACTAGTGTTACATAAAGGGAAGGAAATCCGAGGGTGTAGAGAAGGGTTGGTGGCGGCAGAGGATGTGAGAAGTTGTTTTGTGTGATGAAGAAGCAGAAAAGAGGAATTTGAGCGGCTGCGGAAGGTGAGGCAGGTCGAAGACAAACGAGCTAAACAACCTGAACTGCCAAAAACAGCGTGCACGAAGTGTCAACAGCTCGACCGTGGTCTTGGCACCTTGGCATTACCGTGGAGTCTATACCCTCGCTGCGCAATATCAACCATTTCGTCTGCACTGGGACTATATTGTCCGTCTGTCGTCTTCTTCAAAGGTGTCTGTCATCGACCACCATGACCAGTTACAGCGCAGGTGATCAAGCAGGAAACTATTTCCAGACCGAGTGCGTCGCTGCACCCACTTGTTGTCTATCTGGAGCCTTGCTGATCAGTTTCCAGTGCATCCTTGGCTGAAAGTGATCGGAAACGTCAGAAGGCAGCAAACACATTAGGAAATCCAGTCAAATTCCCCACAAAACTGCTAGCTGCTGGTGTCAACTACTGTTTCGACGCTACTGGGGATGTTGTTTTTGTCGCCGAGGCCGGGGGCTCAGTGACGAGCCTGCGGTTATCTACAAACGAGATTTCCTCGACACCGAGAGGCCCTCAGGCACCCCTAACCAGCCTTGCCTTTCACGCTGCGCAGGTCCCTACAGGCCCTCCTACGGTTAGTCAAGTTTTCTCTGGCTGCTGGGACAAATCGATCTGGAAATATTCGTTCCAAGGACCTACGGTCATCGATCAATCTTCATTTCCTGCTCACCAAGACTTTGTGAAATGTCTTCTGGTTGCTCGGACTCCTGATAAACAAGACATCCTGATCTCAGGGGGAGCCGATGGAGACGTGCGATTCTGGGCTCTGGACGGACAACCACTTGGCTCCATTAAACCCCAAGCCCGAGGTATCGAATGTCTTGTCCTTGACCCTCTTTCCCCACTCGATTCGCCTATGGTGATGCTCTCGACTTCCAAGCAAGAAATCTTCTCCTTTTTTGTCCCAGCGGTATCAAATATCACCACGCATCAATTGCAACTCTCTCCCCCGATCATGGCGCATGCAACGAGTGTGTACAAGCTGCACTTCGATGAGGACGGAGATCTGTGGACTGCTTCGGCTGACAAAACAGCCAGACGTCTCTTGAGAGACGAAGGCTGGAAGGTTGATACGACTTTGACTCACCCAGACTTTGTGCGAGATGTGGTGACACACGATAAATATGGCTGGGTGGTGACAGCTTGCAGAGACGAAAATGTGCGCGTGTGGAACAAGGCGACAGGAGACCTCCACCACGTTTTCACCGGGCATTATGAAGAAGTGACCGGACTGTGCCTGGTGCGAGATCTCGTCATCAGTGTCAGCATTGATGCGACGCTTCGAAGATGGAGTTTGACCCCTGGGGATCTGAACAAGGCGGTACAAGAGGCCAAGAACCCCCGGCTTCTCGAACAGGAACCCGAACCCAACGCGGATCTGGCGATGTTGACCGAGGAGGAGGAAGCCGAACTGCGCGCATTGATGGAGGAGGAGGAGCAGGAGATATTGGAGAAGATGGCCATGGATGAGCAGTAATGCATAATGCATATACTCGGTATCCCGTAGCCTTGCTTTGCCTTGCCTTATCAGTCTACGGGGGCCCCACGTGCTCAACCCCAGATTAGCTAAGCAGGCTGATAGAACTGATAGACTATCGGTCCTCGTGATTGGCTGCCCTGCCACCTCCTGCACCTCCCACCTACTTTTGCCTTTTTTCGCTTTCTCGGGATTGATTGATTGTTCTTTTGCCCCCTCTCTGAAAAATTTCTTCTGTCAGCAATTCATCCATCTCGGATCTGCCTATCCCATCTCTCTCCCCAGGCCAGAAAGTCATCTTCCCTGCATTTGGTCGATTCCGGAACACGTCTCCGCTCCTTGTTGGCTCTGCTCCTGCCGGTGGTTTCCGACCCCAAGCGCAAAACTTGTCGCAAAGCCTTGTCTAACTCTGGCCCACGTGCTCACCCTAACATCAGACTTTTCTTTTTCCATCGCCA